GGATTTTCAGTAGTGGCAGAGTATCTGCATAACACGAATCTGTGGTCCCAGTCAAAGTTTACTGTTTAAGTCGTTGCAGAGTGTGAACCGCGGTTGAAGGTTCTACGCTCCAAACCTATCACCGTCGGTTGGTAATTTTCGTCGCTGAGTTTCACACCACTTCGAATTCAGCTACAAGGTCCTCCGTTTCATTTTTAGCTCAAACACAGTAGAAGGGGAGAACCCTGCTTATGGCCCAGGGTTGAAACTACCGGTTTTCATTACGAAGCAGTAGTTTCTTCTCACTATGGATTTCATCTCTTCTGCCGTTCACAACATAAACGTGTAACCGGATAAAACGTAAAGCATACAAATCAACCTCGATGTACCTGATTTGGGATCCAACACCGGAATCCGGCTCAATTTCATTGTCCGAGGTAGTTTCATTGGGATCCGTGTAAAGCACACTTCGGTCTTCACGAATCTCACCCAACAATTGTTCATAATCTGCATGCAGTTGTTCAATCACCGTGCTCGCCTTTAGTCGATCTTGTCTGGCATGACGAATAGTTTCGTTCAGCTACAATGGGAGCACAATGATGGGAGAATAGAAGTGCCTTAAAAATTCAACTGTGAGAGAATCAAGAGATTGTTGCATAGACTATCGGGTTGAAGTCGATTTGGACGTCACAGGTCTCGGATTTCGCCAAAAGGTAACGCAGGTTTGATCAAAGCATTGATAAAAGATCACCAAACACAGTTTTAAGCAAACAAATACAAACTATTCAAGGTGTCCTTTGAAATAAGTCACTTAGCTTGTGCCGATCAATGCTGAGGTCTTTCAAGCAGGAGCAAATTGTGTGGATGGTAAAACTGTCCGTATTTATTTGTTTGACTGTTTTGTAATGTCTACCTATGCGATGAATTCTAATAATTGACGAAAAGAAGTGTGACGAATCTGCCAGACTGACAAAAATAAGCCATTTACTTGGCCCTAATGGTCAATTAGCATTTCAATAGCACTATGCGATCATCTCCTGCGTGGAGATAAGTTGAGCTCTTGGATGTCCTCGACGATAGTAGTTGATGCGTTGCGATCTGCGAAAGGTTTGACGCATTGTACGATTCAGCTGTTGGGTCAGTCCCATACTTTGAAAACCGACTGCTGACCCGGGCGATCCAAATTTACTTTGACTGTGTTAAGCCACGTATGCAGCTGCTCACCGAGAAGTCGATTCGAGCCTGACACAGAGGGGTTTTGATACCAGGGTTCCCTCCGTCATTCCGGTTTCGCGTTGACAAAGGATGGAGTAGAACTACTGAAAATAGTGCCGCTGGCGTACGGGGGAAGGTTTGTTGAATGCTTTCCATGGTACCGAACAGTGAGCGCGTGAACGATTGCGCTTATTCTCGTTTTTGATCATAGATCAGAGGGACTAACAGCCAAATCGTTCCAATTTTCGATTTGGACAACCGCGAAAGTACCACGCCAAACGTCAACCATGGACTTATACGTGGCTCCGATTCGTACACTCGCCCTCCAAAGCAGCCCGACTGCAAAACTGTATAAAGCAATACCATCTGTTTTCTCCACGATTCGCCATTCTCTCACTTTTGAATGGTTCCACTAATATAGGTTCATGCAGTGCATGTAAGGATAGAGGGAAGACATGCTTTTTTTCTAATATAATGTCCTGTGCCATTTTGATTGTGTTCTCTTCTTCGGCTCGGAAGTTGGTGGTGCGATAGCAGTCTCAGCAACAGCCAGTACACAACAGAAGTTTTGGGTGGTTCCTGTGAAATACTGACGTGATAGTCAGTCTACAGTGCACGATGACTGGACACTCAAACGTGTAAAGATTGGAGCAGTAGGTGTACCTCCTTAATTTAGCTGGGGGAGGGCAAACTACACAAAAACGGAGCTTAGCTGGACTTTATGGGTTTTTGATCATTTCGCAATTTGAATCTCTGTCTTCTTTTCTTATAGAGTACACACCACAGGGTGGTGAATGGTCGAAACGCTTATGTAGTTACTGCAGTACACAGTGCAGTTATCTAAATCCTGGGGATTTGGAGCCGCGAATTAGATAAGGCCTTTATGTGATTGGCTCAGGCGACAGTAAAGCTACGTAAAATTTATGAACTGCGAACAGTTAGGACAATGAAAGATTTAAGAACACGGACCAGTAACGTCTAGCGTTTATTTTACGAGTTCACGAGTTCCCCTAAAATGTTTGTGATGGTGATCGATTGTCGTGCGACAGGATTGGGGCAAAATAAACAAAAGGGAAATGAATTCATTTTGTCCGATAATGTGTGCATGTTTCTTCGACAGAACCGTACGCGTTCGGAGCGAAAACATGTGTAGCACGATTGCACGCGTGGACAGATCGGATTAGTTAAATTCTGCTCGGTTTTTTTTTCACGCTGCCCCCGCAAAACCCAGTTCAGTGCAATGCAGGTCTTGTGCAATTAATAGCGAATTATTCCAGGCGGATTTCGCTGGTAAGGACACTGCATAGTATCACAGACTCTTTTCAGGAAGATGGACACTATGCTGATATCCGAACGGAGATAAACCGAAAGTTTTCTTAGAGAATGTGGTCTTGGGACTAGAGGGTCTGATTTACAAAGCAGCCTAAGTGGGTTAAACGCGAGACAGTGAACGGTAAACCCATGTTGGGGATATTTTATGAAAGGGTTGCGGCTGTAAACAAATGGAAGCAATGAGTGTTAAGAAAGCTCGATATGAGAGATTCACAATCATGCAAACACCGAAACGTAACACGATGTTAAGGAAACGTGGATGTCTGGTGTCATATTAGGAATGGACGTAGAACTATGTCACTGTTGTGAACAATATATTCTGTACTTGTTTTGCGACGTGTTTTGTGAAACTGTTTGAACAATTATGAACTCTGTTCGTTGTTACGCTGGTTATTGATTTATTTTTTACAAACTGTCTGCCAGTCGGATGTATTTAATGAGATAAATAAATAGCGCCCGTGCGAGAGAATTCCATTGGCTGACGGTGTTTGTCATAGATGAGAAACAGCTGTCCAGTGGAACACGAGGACTGTTCCCATCACCGAAGAGATCATAAACTTGAAAAGAAATTATTTCCAGATTGGGGAGGGGTTAGTAAGTACGCCAACGCTCGTAGTGACGGTTCAACTAATACCACACATTCGCTTCAGGATTTTCTCAGTAGCGTTCATCTCTTCACTGAAGACCATTGTCATATGTGAAACAAATGAGGTTCAACTTTTCAGTCTACTCAACTATTAACCATACACTCTTGTGCAGAAGTATCAGTTGTTGTCTTTTGTTTATCCACTTGGGTGAATCAGTAGACGGACGCTTTGAATGCTGGACGCAGTACCAATGTGAAGATAGAGAATTCAGGTCAACTAAGGTTGTACGGATATTATGTAAATGCAAGAGTGCCACTCGACTGTATTACTCAGTGCTTCGAGCCAACGGTTACACTGTCTCCATGTCCCCATTCAGGAAACATAACCCTACCTGATCATGGCTTTCAAACCCGCACGTCAGATTTTAGTTTGACCAATGAGGTAGGCGGCTCTGACGCCCGGCTCACTACCACGCCTAATCTACTGAAACCCAACGTGGTCCGCCACTTCAAGTCACAGGATCATGGTTGCTGGTTTCCTTTGCATACTACAATAATGACGACACGAAATCATGCACGTTCTTGCTGTGTGCACTCGCAATGCTAACACGCACCCTCACCAACAGTCGTGGACTAAACCGCAACAATAATTCTCCATCCTTCTTCCCTCAGCCGTTCCTTAGGAATGCTGGCGTTCCCCAAGGTTCAGTACTTGCACCCACCCTCTTTCTTCTACTTATCAATGATCTTATTCCTAAAACCATAAGTCCAATCCATACTTTTGTCGATGCTCCATTGCTTCCTCTCCTACCGCACTACTCCTTATGTTCGTCTATTTTTATCGCACAACTTCCTTCTCATGCTGCGCGCAATGTTGGTGTTTCGTTTCGCGCCAAAGCTCAAAGTTGCCTTGACCTCGAATACTGTAATCAAATGTGGGATGGGGCCTCGTCTTCTTCTCTTTCCCTTCTTGATTGTGCTCAAAGAAAGGTCATTCGGCTGATCGATAATGCTTCCCTAACCTCCAATCTGCAATTAAGAGCCCATCGTCGGGTAATTGTTTCATCATCTCTGCTCTACCGCTAGTAATTTGACTTTTGTTCATTGGAGCATGCCTCGGCAGTTGTTCTTTCCGTAAATTTTGCACGCCCGCCCCATACACAGGCATCTAGTCATCCTTAGAATATTTCGGTTCGCAGATGTCGTACTTCTCAGCTCTAACCTTCTTTTGACCCCAACCTCCAAGTTACGGAACACCCTGTCACTTTCTGTCTTTCACCCAACTTACAACCTTATGCTCTTTAAGCGAAGAATCGATAAACTGGGTCTTACGTGAATCTTCCCCTACCCTCCATTTTACAGTATGCTTTTTGTCTATGGGGATTTCCCCTTTTACTGTAATCCACATTACGTGTAATAAAAAGGTTGCAGAATTTCAATCACTAAAGTCCAACCATCCAGTCAAACGGCCAAGTTAGAAACGAAGTCCAGTTTCATTAGAACTGCCCAAGGAGTGTATTCTTACAACTGCGCAAACCCTGATTGTTCTGCAGCGAAATAGGCCACCCGTCCTAGCATACGCTTACAAAACGCGACCGATAGGAGTGGATAACACAGAATAACTGAAAAACCTTGACAACTGGTGCCTCCGATAACTGGCTAAAATCACGGGATATGGACACGTTTCAAACTCTACCGCCCGTCAACACTGCGAGGATGTAGAAAGGCTATGCTTGTTTCTCGAACGAGACCGTTGTCAATGGTCCAACGATGTCCTCCATTAGCTGGAAGCTAAACTCACAAAGAAAAGTCTATCGTCGGCACTTGTTTGGATGGGAAGCCAGCTGACGAAATGGGTTAGTAAAACCAAATCGAATATAGATGGTTTAAGTCTCCAGTTAATTCCCGGAGCGCATGACTGGCGTAACAACCGGGTTTCCTGGTGCGAAGACTTTGCCGTATATCGCAACACATGGGTAGCTGCAATCGGAGATATCCAAAAGGCCGACTCATATTCACACACGACTTATTTGCATAAAAGTAACGTACTGAACTGGTAGTAGAGATAATGAACAGTGACAAACGAGCCTGCATCTGGGATCACTTTCGAAACTAGCGACAACGGATCCAAACGAGAGAACGTACCAGCATCATATCGTATTCAATCAGTTGTAGCTGTTGTAGATGGAAAGCGCGATCCGCGACAAGACATTGGAATTCCTCTTCGTACTCCGCTATTCGTTGTGCTTCAGTGTCCATGAACGAACGCTGATCGCCGAGAGCTTCCAGGGTATCATTTAATCGTTTGGTTTTTTCTCTGTATCTGTCAGAACTGGTTCGGTTAGGAAAAGCTTACTTCAACGACCCTAAAATACGATACTGCTCGGCCAAATTGTTCTTAGTCATAGCAATCGCGGAGGATGTAAATCTAAAAGGCAAAACGGTGCCATATGATGTGACAGATAGATGCACGTGATTAAAACACATAAGGATCGATTTTAATCAATAACCTCCAAAAAGGGGACAAGACGAAGCGATCCTCAATCAAGTTAGTGTTGGTACGCACAACCAATCACCTTGAAGTTTTGTGCGGCGATTTCTTCTACTGTCTTTCATCTGTCCAGCTGGTGAAAGAATACCAAAATGGAGTTGAGCCAAATGTGCGTGCAAATGCGTGACCAGGACCAAATGGTCAGACATCAATCCATTGAGTGCGACCAACATCGCCATGTTTAGGGGCAGGAGACGTGCCATATGACGAGAAAAAATCGCTGGCTATGAACTATGAAAAGATCAGTGTTATCGGTGTGATCTTATAGCTCAGCTAGTAGAGCGTGCGCTGTGCAAGAGCGTAGGAGGCGTCCGTGCGTGAATTCGAATCCCACCAAGAGTACAGAACTTAAAACAATTTCAACATAAGACTTCAATCTGCCAAAAAAAAAACAATTTGAACAGCTCCTGTTGTCGCAATATTCATGTCCCCGTGTATTACAGCCTGATAGCAACAGGGGTCAAAATAGTTGCTTTGCTAACCGACGGTAAAGAAACTGGATTTATTTCTTATCATAATTTAACAAAAGTCTAGTAACCGATTCTTAACTAACGGTATCGAGGGAGATGGAAAAACAGGGGAATCCTGGATTTCGCTGAGAAGCAAAAATCACAGATGTTCTGCAACTAATATTTACTACCATTATTTACGAAATGACAATGTTGAATTCACATACGAATATTCACCTTAACCTCGTGGATAGCATACGGAATAAACGAAGGGTGAAATTCGGCTAACACACTTACCGCTTCGGAGTTGCTTCGATTTGTTTCCCAATACGTCCGTTGGAGAACCGTATGAGACCGAGAAAAAGAACTGAGGACCAACTCGGACATAAAACCAGACCGGGTCGACCCATATGCATTATTGCTAACAAAATGTGCCCAGGAGGACTACTCGCATATCAATATCGACTAGATGTTGTAGAAGATTCGGCTGTTCATATTTCTTGCTGTTCTCTTAAGGAAATTTAATGAGCAATGTTCGGACAAACACCTCAATGTGTCTGACGGGACCAGTGATACAAGTGCACGAAAGTTCTCACAAAAAGATGATCAAATTGATGCGGAGAATTGTTTTTGATCGGCCGAACAACCATTGGAATGGTTTTCAACGCGGTTTATCAATGGAATGACGCGAATCAATAAGTGATGGGTTTTATATAAACAATATTCCAGCTGCATCATAGCACAGAGAAGAGAACCTCACCGACCATTGTTGGAACTCAGATGGTCAAATTACTCGAATGGTTTCAGTTAAACCAGTCGTGAACTGACAGTAGCCATCCCGCTTGCAGTCAGTATAACCCAGATGGAACAGTGCATGTTTGCCACAGCGCTCCAAATTACGAAATTTTACAATCAACTTCAACAGTTTGTGAACAGCACCGCCGGATCAGCAGCGTAAATCATGCCGAACAGACAATTTTCAGGTCATCCGCACCGTCAATTTCTGTTTGTGCCACCAGTAACCATATACTTTCGTGCGCCGGTTTTAGTTGCCATCTTTTGGCTGTCCATTTAGTTGAAGAAGTGGCAGAAAGATAGGAAAGTTTAAAGTAGAGTTGAAGAGAAAGTGGAGAATTTCAGTGGACTACGGTTGCAAAGAAACTGAGAAGATGAATGAACGCCACCCAGCCATATCACTCAGTATCTCTAATCATTGATTACAATGATCCTGAGGTCCCCAATCACGGAGCCTAACGAGATTTATATGACCTAGTCTCCTGATTGGGGTTTTCACACACACGTGCCAGGTCTTACTTTGGCTTTCATCCACCCACAATCTGCCTCGGTAAACATGACGCACGATGGCAATCTATTTGATGACATGTGTAACACAGGCCCAAGCCAACGTAATTTATGGAACTCGACCATTTGCTCCAGTAGGCGACCGCTGTTACTTAGAACTCTGCATCTAACCTCAGCATTGCTCGTCCGCTTGGCCCACCAGATTCGTGCGATGCTGCGGAAACAGCGGTGCCGGAACAGCAACAAACCATCTTTATCCTGTTTTCTTAAGGTCCAGGTTCCTGTGCTGTATAGCACAACTCGCCGACCTTCCCAGCATACACTGGACCCCTCACAGATAAGCGGATGTCGAGACGGCACCACAGATGTCTCAGATTGGCAAATACCAAGCGAGCCGTCTGTATGCGAGCTGACACTTTATCCGTGATGCGTCCACCGGGTGAGATATAGTTGCCCAAATAACCAGACCTGTCCACTTGGGTTATTATTTTCCCATTTAGAGTAAGGTTGGACCAACCCAATCTTGCAGCAACGTTTTGCACATACGCCAAAAATCAAACCATCCAGAAAAACTTGCAACTTACCGAGATCTTCTCTCAGAAGCACAATTTCGTCTGCATACTCCAAATCAGACAGTGTACCACCTGAGAGCAAATCGATGCCACTATCCTCGCACGAGGACAGACTTGTTTCCATAATCAAATGTATAACAGATTCAAGTACGCAAAAAGAGAAAGATTGAGGACGACCCAGATGAAAACCGCTTCTGTGCTGAACTTGGGTGAAAAGATGCTGTAAGCTCAGACTCGGCTTCGGCTCGTAGTATGCACTGATCGTAATACGGATATAAACCTCTCGGGCACACTCTTCAGGGAAAGGCAGCGCCAGATTTTAGAGCTTTCGATTGAGTCGAGAACCACTTTCAGATCGAGAAAGACGGAAATGGTGGGTCTACGAAAAGCATGCCGATGCTTCGGAATTTAGTGAATGGTTTCCACAGGAATAGCTATCACCTTTCTTGTAAATCGGTGGGAGGACCGATTCACAGCAGTCAGTCATAACCTATTAGCTTTCCCAAACGGATCTCGAGTTCTAACAACTTCAAAATCAACACTGAACCTTTATCCTTGAGAGCCGATGGGAAGACGCCATATGGGCCAGGGGCCTTATGCTGTTTGATATAACTTAGTTCCCGGGAAACTTCCGTTCCAAACAGAGGACTGACATCAAATCTAGGATTATTTGACCATTTGAGGAGGGGGGGTGATAAGTTTCATACCGATGGGGCCAGGTGAATTGAACCTCGAAATGCTCAGCCCATAGATAGCCGCAGCTTTCTCCATCTCTTTATACTTTCCTATTAAACACTTCTTGCGGTCATTCCTCAGACTCTTGATGAGCTGGTGCTTGAGGGATTTGCGCGGCGTGTTATGTGTGGCATCAGGAGGTAGGGTTCTGCGGGGCATCCAGCGGGATAGTCGGGAATCATCGTTTGGGTTTTGAGCTTGCGTCAGAATCCACTGCTGTAATTTATCGATATTAGCAGAGCTTCTTTGATTTGGTTCCAGTGTTTATTGAGTTCTTCAGCAGGAGGTTGAATTGATAGGTGATTGGAGAGCTCCGTTTCGAGGGCCGATTTGTAACTACCGCAACATGGATGAGTCCGATTGATGAGCACCAATTCGGACCACTGTATTCATTGCAACTTCGCTTACGCGAAAAACGTAGGGAAAGCAACGGGGGTACTAATACCGAACTGCGTTACAAGTTCGAATTTTTTTCACGGCGATTCTTGATATTATTTTTCAGTTTTTTTATATTCCTCAACACAACCAGTTGTATGAAAATTGACACAACATATGGGATGTGCATATTTCCTAAAAAACGAACGTATAACAGTGCAGTATTAACAGTGCAAGGTTGATCGCAAATCAAGCACTGTCGAATATAGTGAGGTGATATGGCGATTCCACTACCTGAATTATATACAAATTGATGCAATGATTCTTGGGGCTAAGGTAGACACCATAGTAGACAACAGTACACAGAAACAGTTTCATAGATTCGTTTCCTGACGCACAGACTCATCATACAGAATACGTATGTGTTTCTTCAATACGTAAAACCTGGAATAACAGTTTCGTCCCCACTGGAAATCACGAACGAAATGTGTTCATCTGGGATTCGGACCCAACAGCAAGTTGGTTTGCGTTGGTAATGCGATAAGTGACACAAACGTTTCGATAGGTAAAAAAAATCAAGACAAAAGGAACAGCGTGCAAGTGAGAAAAAACAATATTAAATAAGCTGAATTATATTTGAAGAAGTTCCGATTAGCATTAAAGTCAAATTGTATTAAACAATGAGAATACAATTAGCCACGTTGGATGGGAATAAAATGCGATAAACCAGACCGCTGTAACAAAAATTATGAGGTTGACAAACCACCAANACCAAATGCAGTCGATAAACGGATTCGCACTTAGACGATCATCATTTCTTTCCTTTCAGGGTTCGAAGGAAAATTGATTGGTCAATAAGGCCCATTTGTTCTATAAACTTGGGACACGTCAAGCACAGCACATTTGTGTCACGTGAGTACGTAGTAAAACTCATTGCGAATTGAGGAGGTGGGGTGGGGGTGATGCGAATTTCGCATTTTACTCGACAAACGAGAATGTTGAAAGAGAACCCATCAGGTGGACTTGAACTCGACATTTTCGTTTGCCGCTTTTTAACTAGTCACCTGGTCGACTAGTGACGGAACGGGTGAGATTCAACGATGACCAAAGCCTTCGGCTTTGGTCATGAATCATGGCATAGCACTCATGAGAAATTGCCGTTAGTTAAGATGCCATTCTGATGGTTAACATTCCGGAAAAGCAGAAGCGACTACTCAGAGGCGAGCAATCATCTGATGATTGATCGAACAACACAGAAAAAAAACTATGAGAGAAGACTGAAATAATCCACTCTCACAAGTGGAGAACTGTAGCCTTAGAGACAATGCGAACGAACGAACGACTATACGAAATAGCCCAATTCGGTCGTACAACTCCAGGCCCGGGACCGCGAATCAGAACCGACCAGTCGCTGACAAAATACACGTGACTGCGAGTGGTTTTGAACAACGCAACCGAGCAGAATGCCGCCGACCCATTTGCATACTAATGAGATGTGATTCTCACAAACCACTGTCCCAGTGAACTTATTCCGCTCCAACCAGAATCATCACTGACTGATTGAGATAATTCCGATTGATCATCAGCTTCGCAAAATGTGATTGCTCAGTTCCGAACAACTTGCATCACCAAAAGCATATTCGATTGTTTTTGTTAACTCCTCCAACTCGACTGACTTCAATTTACGTGCGGGAGCAAATAAGGGAACAGAAAACTAGGGCTGTGAACAAATAAGTGTGCAGAAAGGGATTACGGTTTCGAGTGTGTGAGAGCTGAACGTTTTTCTCGTTGCGGGACGTGCTAAATCGATGCCAGATGCTGCCCATTTAGCGTTCACTGTAAATTCACCAAACCAAGAGAGACAGAGAGGAAAAACGACAATCGATTTCCGTGGTTTAAGCCGAACAGTAAATGTCCCATTACTTGCACCGGTATTTCGTTTATCAAATTTGGGGAACTTTTCTCAGATGCCCTCCACCTTTTTATGGGCACGATGTCACAATTCAGTGGTGTAAGAACGTATCGATTATAGTAAAAATTTAGTTGTATCAAAGAGTAGAGAATCTGTAGGAAAAATAACACAAATGAAAGCATCGGTGATTGTTTGGAGTGGGGGTGGGGAGGGGCGAACTGGGACTAGAACATCTGGGATGGGATGGACTGTGTGTCAGCGTATTGGGCCAGTTGGATCAGGTCATGTTCAACACATTCGGTGCGCGTGTGAAAGTACTCACGTATGGCGAACGCGAGTCCGGTGTTCAATTCCAATAGGATTTTATCCACCGCGGGCCACGTGNACGAAAATAAGTACATTCTACGTGGAACGAATAGGAATTTGAAAATGAAAAAGCGACTCCCATTACATTGCTATCGAGGATCGAAGCATGTGGATAACGGCTACTGGTGGGCCCCTTTTTACCACACACTGTCGAGTGAAGACCAGCGGAAGGAGTCATTCACAAAGCCGCAAGGATCAACTATTCACTAGAGATAATCGGTAATCTGGGCCATGGGGCTTGGATTGGCGAACCACACAAGGACGTATCGGGTTCAGCTTGGAATTGAACCTTGAGAGGATAGAGAAACGTACGATCAAAGTTGGGTATCAGCTACAGGGTTCGGACCTTGGACGTTTGGGGCCTAAAGCAAGCTAACAATAGCGATTTAAAACGGTTGACTACTGCAACCCCGGATTAGATGAATGTGTTCTAGCCTCAACAGCACTTACTACTCAGCTCTTTCAGAGATCGAAGTTGCAATATTTTTGTGGTGGATAAGATTTCACGGCTGTTTATTTTGGGTTCTGGAGATTGAGATATTATTGACTGCACTAAGTTGGCTCATTCGTTTGCCTGTGAGTTCGCTAGCGGCTTTTCTTCATCGATCGATCACGAATCTATACCTTATGGAATGATTGTTCAACTAAAACAGTCCACTTATCTGGAAAACCCACCGAGATGGACAGCGCAATAAAAATCAAATTTAAAACTACCAATTTAAAAACTCTCCGTAAAACGCAATATCCATAACAAGAATGTAACAGTTATTTAACAATACGAAACCGTTTTAGTTGGTCATAGGGAAATCAGTTCCATTACTTATGGTGACCTTCAGTGAAGTGTCAAGTCACTCTAGCCATATCGTTTGTGCAGGAAAATAATTATTTTGGTTTTCGAATTAACTGTCTAACTCACATTATCAAGCAGAACTTCGGGAAACTGTCCGGCTACATCCATCACAGCGGAACGAAGCCCACTGAGCGCCTCAATACGATTGGGCAACCAACGTTCGCGTAGGTAGAGTTTGACTCGACTGGGAGACAAAAGCAGTTTTGAGAACGTCAAACGATAATTCCGCACTGTAGAATCCTGTATGTCAAAGGTAGGGGCAGATAAGAATGATGAATAAATGGCTGTCACGGTGGATTTTCGCAGTCGACTCTCTCTCCCGCTATCTAGATCTGCATTTTTTGGAATCCAGCAGAATCCACAGCCACAGGTGACTAGAATGTACACAGACGATAACTAGTGTGTGTGGCCTGAACGAAGGAAAGTGGACAGAAATTGAAGGGATGACTGGAAACTTGGTGCGCGACCCCAACCACACACACAATCATTAGGTATAAACACAGTACGACAGGAGACAATGCGAAGCACATCCATTCACATATGGTCATTAGGAAACCGGTGTTAATGATTGCCTTTTTGGCCTAGATCTGGCCATCATATGTGCAAGTAGAGAGAAACAACTGAGGATTGAAAACACACCCACCCACCCCCGCACAAACACAAATCGCGTGCTACGTTTAACCGAACCGAAAGGTTAGGTTTTGCAAAAGATCGAATGTACCGTACACTCACCGTGCTTGATGCTGGAAAGTGTTGGTTTAGTTGTGCCAAGAATATGGCGTAATCGTTGGTTTCGGCGAACCGCTCCAAATGCATATGCACGAGCTGTGATCATGGAAAAGAAAAACCACAAGTCAGGAGCGGTATGTGAGTGCTGAAACGAAAAGTGTACTAGTACTAAATCATATTACTCGAAGCACCTTATATAGATATAAAGTTTGCCCAATGCATAGAACAAATGGTGAGGATTAGAGAGTAAAACAGTCAGGTCAGTGGGTTCCATTCGCAAGGAAATGCCGCCTATAATACTAAAAGTTTACCTTTAAAAAATGACCTAACTAACATGGAAACCGAATAGGACAAACCGTGAGCGATTGGGGTTGAATGTATTCTGGAAGCGACCGCTTACACAGGAGTGCAGGAAACGAGGATGCTTACTCCTTCTCTAGTTATCCTCTATCAGGTTGATTCTCAAGCTTGGTTGCTGAATCAAGTACTGACAATTAGGTGGCAGTACTTCTGTCAACAGACAGCCTATACATGACGTTGCACCGAACCCAAAACAATCTGACCCAACCGTGATGTCTACCTCTAATTGGTTTAGTTGGTGAGGATCGAGTGAGCCCAGCAACAGGAGACTAGAACACTTCAGGAACTTTTGTTTTTAAGCGAATAACTGATGCACGAGAATGAGTTGGCTTTAGGGATGTTTTTTGATCATGCGCCCACGCACGGTGATCCGAGGATAGATTAGCACCGATTTTGATTTAAGGAACATCCCAGAGTCAGACACCGTTTCATGTCTGTAAACTTCAGTGCAGTATCTAAGCTGGAATTGTGGAAATCGAAGCCTCCAATTGGCTTCGAGGGTCACACCGGGACAGATCAAAGCACGGTTTCGTGAATCCAATCGACGATCTCCTGAGGACATGGCCGAACCACTGTAGAAGTCTTGGTCACAAGAAAGTGTACAGATCGTCTGTGTTGATGCATCGTGGGCGGATATCGTCTTTGGAAATCCGGCCTTGAATATGCTCTTCCGCGACAGATGCAGCCATGATTTGGTCAATCGATGAAATTTGTGGTCGGTATGAAGAGCTTCAGCAAAATTATCACGAAGAACATGGAAGCAATGGTCGTCAAGCTAATAACTGTGGGGTTGCTGTAAACTGTCCGGGCAACTTTATGGATGGGGATCAGAGTACAAATCGACCCAGTCCTCCGGGACGGTTTGTTCTCCAGATGATACAAAACAACGAGTTCAGCGGATCAATTAGAAGGGACAACGGGTATTCGAAGTCTGGAGGTGCAGCGTCCTCTACCGGAAACTTTCTGTTTTTACACCGTATCATGATAGTGACGGTTTGTTTCTTGAAGGTATCGCAGGACTAGCAGACAAGAAACGGTGCCCACAGGGACTGATCTTATTGGACTGCCTTGGTGGATAGTAAAACAATTGACCAAAATGCCGGACCGCTTTTCGAGTTTCTGCGCCGTATCATTGATGGGTTGTACTGTATTGTATTGTATTCAAGCTTAAGCGAGTTATATACAAGCGTTTAGTCAAAAAATAGACCACTGTTACAATTCTAGTAAAAATAGGTGAAAAAGTAGGATGTGAAACATACAAAAATATGAGTTAATTACTAAATGCATTAGAAAGCTCAGAGCGAATACTTTCCTTGTCGGTCAGTATCCGGGATAGATAGAATACCAAAGAGTTTCCGTATGCGGACATGCGAGACGGGATAAGTTTGTACTTAGAACGGGCGGAGGGGTGGAATTTGCATGCACACAGGTCAATGCGTACAGGACGGGTGCATTCAGATAGGATATTGTCAGCAAACTTCAAACACGCATCAATATGGGCATCACAAGTATTGCCAATCAGAACAGATAACAGAACTTGGGAGACACGGCTGATCATTGAGAGGCCACGCCTCAGCAACTTGAAATCAGCCTTGGGAAACCAGGAGAAATTACAGGGGAGCAGTAAAGGGGTATAGGGAGGACACATTGTTGAACGAGTGTCTATCACCGACAAGTCAGAACAGAAGTGGCGCAGTTTTCTAATCTGAAAAGAGAGACTTTTCAACTTGCGAGCAACAGTTTGGGTATGTAAGGGCCAACAAAGGTTAATTTTAAGTGTGACACCTAGGTACTTCATATGGTTAATCTGTTGCGTCCCGTAGTAGAAACTCGAGGCGTTTTCGGCCTGAGGCGACCCTGATGGGTCGGACGAACTTTCCAAAATAGGTAGCAGCGGTGCCAGATTTTTTTCGGTCTACTATTTCTCCCCAATGTTGATTGAAATCGTTTCTGGTGGAGAGTGTGTGAGTATTCTCCTTGGAGGGGTGCATGTACATGAAGTAACTGCGCATCCCTCGCCTTGTTTTCCTATACCTGCAGTTCCTGTGTTGTCGGGACATCGTCACAAGTTTTGCATTTCACGTGATGTCATGGACCATTGTTTCATTGGGCTAAACCAACGGGTGAATATAGCAACATACATGGACAGCCGCATTGGATCACATGGGGTCAAGATTGCTTAATCTATATCCATCCTTTTCAGGATCAGATTAGACACCTAAGGATATACGGAACAGCACAATACCAAAAAAGCACGCGGCATGGGAGAAGACAAAGTCATAGAAAATCAAGACACTAGAAAGATTACGAAATGTGCCTAGCATGGGGTGGACAAATAGTTGATGAATGATCTAGGTAGCATAAGGATTTATCATATATGGTAGAACAACAACGGTTACAGAGCGTGGATCGTGGTACTCAGGTCGACGAAGATTGTGGAAGATCATAGAGTGATTATTTGAAGGGTTAGAACATGGTGTAAACAACTTGACGTGATNCCTGAGCAATCTGAGATGACCGTGACACTTACCACTGGTGGGTTCAAGCTCGATAAACAGTCAACCGAAACGGACCTAAACAGTCAGCTGATTACGGCCAATCAGATATCCGTAATATGATCGCTCTATATATGTAATCGCCTGATGCGATATATCAAAAGGAAATTTCTTAGCAAATACCGTTTTCTACATTGTTTACGGGAATATTTTTCGAGTCAGTAGATTGTTTGTTCCCCAGCACAAACTTACACGGTTACTATGTTTGTTTGAAATGCGTCAGCTTAGGACTTTCGTGTGAAACCAATCAGTTCGAATTTGCACAAGCCCATATTTTCGTGTTTCTGCTGTTAGGGGTTATGAAACAGAAGACCCCATGGGTCGACATCATCTGAAGTACGATTGGGAAATCGATAGCACTTTGTTGCTGGACCTAACTAGAACGTGTTTAGGTGACTCTCCCGCGATTACGTATAGAAACGATTAGAGGGGGTGGGGAGGGGCAACAAAAAGCACAGGTATGTACTGTGTAAGCCGAAGTGATGGCAATGTATGACTACTATTTACCGGTCATCAGTCCCTCTCTCCCCTCTCTTCCTGGATGATATTGCCAAACGGTATGCTTGGGGTCCTTGGCATGCATTTGTGAGCCCATGGGTGATGAAAGCGACAGGTGCAGATGATCATAAACGTATTTTGGAATCCGTATTATGTTTAGATTCGGATCGGGGTCGGCGGGCTGGCGGGCGTGTGTGACAGAAGATAATGATGGGTGCACCTGGGGCTGCGCGACAACGGTGGTAGTAGTGCTGATGCAGCGGACAATGGTGTTGTGTTTCGCTATACGCAATTATCTAGCTGCTTTGATTGTGCACCTAGATACGCGTACATGGGTCAGACTAGGTCTATGGACCGTGCCAGTTTCCATACGGGTAGAAATACCGGTACATTTGGCTGGTAAACCGGTGAAAGCTGAATAATTGACACAAACACACAAAAATCAGTTTCAGTTTACTCAAGAATTGAATCATATGTCTGAAAATTCATTTTTTTCTGCGTTTATTATTTATCGCATGTAAGATTTTCAGGCAGCGGGATGGACCCAATTCAAGGCTGTCCCCCTTCTAGCTGGGGAATACAGAAAATGGGGAAGTTGGGCGACAGTGGCAGGATTCGAACAAGCCACCTGCAACTCGCCATTTTGATGATCTTACACACCTGATCACCGCCGCCTGAGTCAGTATTCAATCAACCATCCATTTTGTGTCCCCTCAAAGAAAGACGTGGTTCGAAAGAAGCAAAATCTCTTCACAAGTGAACCGGCACGACTAGTGGATAAATAAATGAATGATAATGAAGATTTTCACTTCTTACAGAACCAAGACGCATTCCGACAATCCGAAACCGTTCAAAGTGTGATGTGAGATAAGATCATAGAGATTCGCATGAGGGAGAACGAAGATGTTCAGAGGTGAAAAAGATCGTTCGGACGAGACAGTTACAAATTTAGCCTGAAGGTGTCACACAAATCGAGAGGGGGGGCTTGTTTGTATTTTTATTTGTGTAACTTGTGTAAGCATATATGCTTACATTTCAGTTAAAAATTAGATTGAAAACTGGTGCGACTGGTTTTTGAGAACCAACGGTGATCGATGCTGAAACGTACCACCGATCGATTGAAGGAAAAATATGCCAACAAAACTAGCCACGCATCCATCCATTGGGTGCATATAAGAAATGGATCGATATAGCACCGACCGAGCTCCGGATCCATCTGTGGCTCATATTTTAGCGAGGCACAACATCTGTGTACTCCTTTAACCAGCCAATTCTAAGAGAGATTTATGCGATTTTGTAGAATGACTGCACGGCGACACAATACTGTGAATACTGTGAATAAACTGATCATTTTTGGCAACATTCGTCTTTATACTTTTGCCCAAATGTTTGTCACAGTCGAATTACTGTGCTGGCCCATCGCCTCCGAATTAAAGCCAGCGAATTACAGATGGCTTCACGAAACCCGGTTCAGTTTCAGTTTCAGTTTGTACAATCATCAACCATGCGCACTTTCGTGGGCCGGTTTCGGTTGCTGTCTTTTGGCCGCCCATTTAGATGAACAGTGGGAGAAGGACAATAAAGCTGAAAGTAAAATCGAATAGAAAATGGAGGAGTTTAGTGAATTCAGAGAATTTCGCTCATTAGACAGCAGGCTTTTGTGAATCCGTTTTG